CATTTCCACCCCTATGCTCCCTGTTACCCCTGTGTCCTGGCACCTCACAGCTGCAGGCTCCAGCTGCTCACATCTCCACTTCCCTTCCCACCCAGCCCCAATTTTCCTCCCCTCTGATCCCAGGATCTGCTGCCTCCCAGGGAAGATGAAATATTCAGCGATTACAGTCAGTAAGCCCTAAGCATATGCAAATGGATCTTTTTGAGAAGGCTTGTATCCTGGCTAAATTCAGATGCTTTGTCATGCAAATGGGAGAAAGACACATCTCTGGAATCAAATCCCTCATCCTTTTATTTTTCAACCAGATTTCAAGTGTTTTGAAGGAGAGGGCTATCATTGGTCTTCCACGGTAGAAGTTGAGAAAACTTTTAAAACACTAGAAAACCACCTATTGTCTTTGCCCGATTTTCAACATGGGCCACCTTTGAACTGAACTTTTACACACAAAAAAAGTTAAATGAATCAGCGCAAGGCTTAAGCATTGCACTGTAAGTTTTCCACCCAAACAGTGGAAGTTTGGCAAAGTTACTGAAATCTTGGCTGCTTTAATACTTGTGACAGTATCATATGCCTGTAATTTAAGCAGAATTAATTTCTTCTGTTTAATCTGAATGGCAGCACATACATTTCCTGAAACATTGTCATGTGCTCCCAAGACACCTGTGCAGAGTGGATGAGCACCTGAAGCACATGGCCAATAATAAATACTGATAAATAGCTACTATTTCCAGAGCCCTCCCTTCTGCACAGTTTATTAAAATGTTTATTCTTGTAAAATGCCTGATGTTCACAGACTCCCTGAGCAGCACAACTGCAACTTTTACAAGTCAGACCTGATGGATTCATGTCAAACCCAAACTTTAAAAAGCAGGCAGGATTAAACTACCAGATTTGTCTTCAGAAGGCAGGGGGGAAATTAATGCATTTTTACCACCTAAATCTTAAGAAACTAGCTGGCCACTTCCCAGGGATGAGTAGCAAATTCATCACTGAAGCTAGTAAATTTTTATCTGAATCTTATGTTTACGTAGCTTCCAAACATTGCAGTTGAAAAGGTGACTTAACTATGTAAACTCGTGCAATGCAGTCTTTTCAAATCTAAGGGGGAAAGAAACCATGAAAGAAGACACCCAAAGAACTGCACTCACACAAAGGAACTGTACACACAAACAGCCAACCTCTCAAAACAGACCTGAAGAGAAGCAGTACTTGGATAAGGCATCCTTTCATAACAAATTAAGTCACAGTCTCTAGTCATCCAGTTAGTTTTTAACCAAATTCTGGGTGTCTGCCAAGCCCCAAGAAGTTTAGGGCTTCTTGGGAAGAGGACTAGTTTGGAAGACCACTGGAACACGAAGAAAACTGAACTTAAAACATATATTCCCACCAGAATTTAATTTTCCTTATATGTGTGTTAGAAATGCTTTTCTACATATATATTTTCAACGTGAAGTATTATTTATATATAAACAGCTATATACATTTGCAAATGGAACTTGTGTGGTCTGGTCAGTTTTTTTCCTCAAAGATTAAAACTTTAGAGAGTTTCACCATTCAGTGAAGTGTTGTCAGGGCCAAGGTACTAATCTGAAACAGTCCTATTTTAAGGAAGAAGAGGGGGAAAAATGAAAACAATTATTCATAGATGCTGTGAAGAGGTAACAGTGCAGGATGTGTGGATACTTTTCAGTCATTTTTCCTTTGACAATGTACTCAGGTCTGAGGTGGTGCCAGCACAGCGGTGTGGTGAAGAGCTACTGTTTAACACAATTTTTCCATCCTTGAGCAACCGGGATGGACACAGCCCAAAAGTAAGGCACAGCTGCCCCAGAGTGAGAGGAAGGGGCACAAAGACTCTGGTGATTTTTGTCTCTTCACCTTCCCCATGCCTCACGGGTATCGTGTGCCCTCACCTTTGGTGTTTTTGTTGTGCAGCACCTCTCTGGCACAACATTGAGTATTGTGGCCCCCAAATTCATCTCCCCACACTTCACACGTGTTGTGAAGCTAAATAACACGGGCGGGCGGTTTACCCCAGAGGTCGAGCAGGAGGGACAAAGAGAGGGACCATAAAACAAATGCCATCTCGGAACTGAAAATTTGCCAAGGGCTATTACAAATGGCTGGCAAAACTTTGTCCGCTTTTGTAGTAATTACATAACCTCAAAGGACACAAACACTGAATGCAGCACGCAGCAAGACACCGTGCTACAAGGCACACTTGGCACTGGGCTGCTTTGTAAAATATATCACAGCAAATATCACAAACAGCAGCTGAACAGCACACATCTCTTCCACACTTGGTAAATAAGCTTTTCACACCCTGGTCCTCTCACTGGCACACATCCTCATGGGGAACAGACATGGTCCACACAATCAGGCCATTAAAAACTGAGGGAGTGTAATTTAAAAAAAATTTATTTCCTCAATTATTACAAGTGTATTTTGGAGATTGGTTGCTGGCTACATATTTTAGGCACTTAAAATCTTGAGGAGACACGCCAGTGTTCAGTTGAATATTCTGTTCTAAAAACTTTGATATTAAACATAATTACAATCCCACTCTTCTTGATTAAATAAGTACTTATTGTATCAGTCAAACATATGTATTTTTCTCTGCAGTTTCCAAATTAACACAATCTCATGCAGAAGTCAGAGCTGTATTTTTGTAATGTTTAATTCGGCAGCCTCTTGTTTTTGAGCGAAACAAAAACTCATGCATTACCTTGGGACAAGCATTTCATGGCTGTAAAACAATGTCCTAAGAGGGCAAAAAATGCAATCACAGTTTTTTGGAAGTCAGAAAGAAAGCGTATGAAAACGGCAACGATGTTATCTGATCAGAAAGAAGAAATTTTAACAAAAGAAATACAAAAAAAATCTGGAATGTAGACTACACACAATGGTATTACATATCATAAAGCAAGTCTCAAAGCTTTTTTTTATATTTTTTTTTCCACTGGAGGAAGGAGGAGAGGGGTAGAAAGAGGATGCTTCTAACTCCCAGCTGAGTTAATTTGTAAGCAGATGCAACCATGAAGCTTCTGACCTGTCAGGTCCACGATCTAAAACCAAACCATTTCAGTGTTTTGCATAAAATAAAATACACGTGAGGAGCCCACATTTCCAGCTGCTGGTTCTGAGTGGGAGACAACGTGTATTTAAATCGAACAGCACCATCTAGCAGGTCCTCACAACTTTACTTAGGAGGGCAGTTGCTACTTGACAATAAGTCAGTTTGGCAGGCTTGCCCTGAAATTTATTAAGCATTTTCAGACCAAACGAAATATTATGTGCTTTACAACACCGAGAACCCCGAGGAGAAATCAGCTGCAATGAAAGAGTACGACTGAAAACTGCTTAAAGTTTCATCCCCACCACCAGAGCACTCGTGTGTGCGGCTTGCACTGGGTAGCTTTTGCAAAGCAGAATTAAAACAACATGATCTCCATCTGATCCAATGCACAGCAGCCCTATGGATTTGTTTGCAGTCCCACTGCGAGGTCCCACTGTGCCCTTCAGTGATTTACCGAGTGTATTGACAAACACCAGCAGCCACGTACCGCGAGGAAATGGTTTAATTCCCTAATTTTGCTAAGACAAAATAAACAGTGCTTCCACGAGCCGGTCAAGCAATTATTTTTAAAATTATCCCTCCGCTGGAACTAAGAAGTGCCACTAGTTGATCAGATTTCAGAGCCCAAGTTGTGTCTCCGGCTGCATCTCAGCAATTAACGCTCGCCGGCAGGGCTGCCTCTGCCTCCCTCCACTTTCCCGTGGCAAAGTTAGGTGTGAAATTGTCAAACGCCTTAAATTCCCCTTCTCCCGCTGAAACATTAGAGATGCCTGGCCTGCTGCTGCTGCAGGAAGCGTGCATGCCAGCCTCTGGAATTAGGAAGTCTCGGGAAAGAAAATAAAAACAAAAAACAAAAAAAAAACATCCAACAAAACAACCAAACCCCAAAAATAAAAACGCACGGAAAGAACTAACCCAATCAAAAAAAAAAAAAAAAAAAGGAAAAAAACCATATTCAACCCTCAAACCCAAAATTCCTAAAGTAAAAAAAGGAAAAAAATCATATTCAACCATCAAACCCAAAATTCCTAAACTCAAGCACACAAAAAAAAAAAAAAAAAAAAAACCCCAAAAAACCAAAAAAACTTTTGGGTGAAGGTTCAAGACAAGCTGCCTGAAGGGAAACTCCTCGGCCGTGCCCGGAGCGCAGATCCCCGCGCTGAACCCGCTCTGGAGCGATGCGATTTTTGGAACAGAGAGAGGTGCGAACCTGGCAGGAGGTCTCTGCCTCCGGACCCCTTCAGCAGCCTCACCCCGACCTTCCCACCCCCGGTACACTTCGTCCCCCTCCTCTTTTCTTCCTCCTCCTCCTCCTCCTCGCACGGGCTTTTCCTCCCCTCCACCCCCAGCGTGCCGAACCGGCCTCGCTCACGCCAAGTCGCAGCCGCTACAGGACAACTTGAGGAGACGCCGTCCATTCCCCAAAAAACTGCGTTTCCCTGCCCGCCCGTGCCGGGGGCACCCCCAGCCCTCCCCGCCGGGCAGCGGGCAGGAGAGCGCCGGAGCTGCGCGCAATTAGAAATAAAAAAAATAAAAAAAATAAAAAAACCCGTAAAGCAGCATGAGTTGGGGCAGGCAGCGGGAGCCCGGCTCCCCTTTGTGCGGCGCCGAGCCCCCCCTCGAGAGCGAACAATGGGGGGCCGCGGCAAAAGTTGCGAGGCGGCGGCGAGTTGGGACCCGGCCCCCCCAAAGCCTTGCCGGGGCTCTTTGTTACCGGAGGGGGGTCCCGGCACCTTGCGGGGCCGAGCGGGCACGGCGGGGCAGCGAGCCTGGCCGAGCTCGGACCCCCGCGCTCCCGGAGCGCGGCCGCCGCTGCCCCCCGCGCCCCTTCCTGGGCCGCAAACTTTTGTGAGGGGGCCGCGCGCGCGGGGCGGGCGCGGAGGGGCGCGGAGGGGCGAGGTGGTGGGGGGGGGGCGGCACTCACTTCTCGCGGGCCTGGCTGTCGGACGGGACGCTGCTGTTGCTCTTGCCTTTGCCGTACATGCCTGCGGAGAAGCTCCCGACTGTCACGCACCTGTCAACCCATCACCGCCTCCCCGGGACCGGCCCCGTCGCCACGGTGACGGGCGCCACACGCGCCCGCCATTGGCCGGGCCCGCCCCCCGCGCGGTCCCGCCGCGCCCCCCGCCGCCGCGCCGCCGAGCGGGGAGCGCGTCGGAGAGACGCAAAGTGCGGAGCGGAGCGGCGGTGGCGGCCGGAGCGGGGCCGGCCGCGGCGGAGCGCTCGCTGACGGGCCTCAGCCGGGCCCTGCTCAGCGGAGAGTCCCCTCACCCGCAAAAAGCACCCCTGGGGGTCTCTTCACACCCCTCACCTGTCGGCCGCGAGGGTCTCCTCACACCCCTCACCCTCATCCCTGAGGGTCTCTGCACGCGTCTCACCCGCTCTCCTCACCCCTCACTCCTGAGGGTCTCTGCACACCCCTCAGCCACAAGGGTCTCTGCACACCCCTCACCCCTCACGCCCGAGGGTCTCTCCTCACCCCTCACCCTCATCCCTGAGGGCCTCTTCACACCCCTCAACTCCAAGGTCTCTCCACACTCCTCACCCTCGAGGGTCTCTTCCCACCCCTCACGCCCCTCGACCCCAAGGTCTCTTCACACTCCTCACCTGTGAGGGTCTTTTCTCACCCCTCAGCCGTGAGGGTCTCCACACCCCTCACCCTCAGCCCTGAGGGTCTCTTCACACTCCTCACCCTCAGCCCTGAGGGTCTCTTCTCTTTCCTCACCCTCACACCCGAGGGCTCACCCCTCACGCCCGAGGGTCTCTTCTCTTTCCTCACCCTCACGCCCGAGGGTCTCTCCTCACCCCTCACCCTCATCCCTGAGGGCCTCTTCACACCCCTCAACTCCAAGGTCTCTCCACACTCCTCACCCTCGAGGGTCTCTTCCCACCCCTCACGCCCCTCGACCCCAAGGTCTCTTCACACTCCTCACCTGTGAGGGTCTTTTCTCACCCCTCAGCCGTGAGGGTCTCCACACCCCTCCCCCTCAGCCCTGAGGGTCTCTTCTCTTTCCTCACCCTCACACCCGAGGGTGTCTTCACACCCCTCAACCACAAGGTCTCTTCATACTGCTCACCCTCACTCCTGGGGGTCTCTTCACACCCCTCACCCTCATGCCCAAGGGTCTCTGCACACCCCACACTCCTCACCCCTGAGGGTCTCTTCTCATCCCTCACCCTCACACCCGAGGGTCTCTTCACACCCCTCACGCCTGAGGGTCTCTTCACACTCCTCATCCTCAATCCTGAGGGTCTCTTCTCACCCCTCACCCCTCACACCCCTCACCCCCGAGGGTCTCTTCTCACCCCCGAGTGTCTTTTCTCACGCCCGAGGGTCTCTTCTCACCCCTCACCCTCATCCCTTAGGGTCTCTTCACACCCTTCACCCCCGAGGCTCTCTTCCCCCAGGGAAAGGGACCCCCCCCAGCAATGGAGGAGAGCGAGGGCCGGCACGGGGCTGGAGGTGGGGAGGAAACATTTCCTGAACCGAAGCAGCGTGTCTTGGAGTAGCTTAGAAAATAGTAATGAAAAAAATTATTAAAAAAAAAAAAATAAAACCCACCCACAGTCTGAAGAAAATTCAAGGAAATGCTTTGATTTTTTTTTTTAAAGTTACACGGCAATAATTGCGTGCTCCGCAGAGACAGCAGAGAGAGAGAGCAGCCACTGGGGCCATTTGTTACTTGATTTCTTTTTTTTTAAGTACCCGGAGCTCTGGAATTTTTGCACTCTTCCTCCTCAACCACAGTCCTAAATTTTGCAGATATTGGTGCCTGCTTATGTTTAAACTGTGGCTAACCCACTCCCCTATGTGACCCGTTGGAGGGGAGCTTTTAGTATTTTTTAGTATTTCGATGTTTTAAGTGAGAAATGCCTATTTTTTTTTTCTTTTTTTTTTTAGCATCTGATATTTCCCGTCCGTAGGGGGAAAAAAAAAATTTTTTGGAAAAAAAATTTTTTTTTTTTTTTTTTTTTTTTTTTTTTTTTTTTTTTTTTTTTTTTTTTGTCAAATGCACCCAACATCTATCTCCCCTCCGTGTTGGCCGGCAAATGTCAGGAACAACCAGGGCCACGGGAAAAAAAAAAAAAAAAAAAAAAAAATTCCAAAATTCGAGCAGGGAAGTTGTGCCAGACGTAGACCACCAGCATCTGTTTATCATTGTTGGAGCTGCAAGGGGGAAAAAACATCCTCTGGATCCTGAGCTGCCGGAGCGAAGGGAATGGTTGGTGAGGTGAAGCCGGGGAGGGGGGATTAGGAGAGTATTAATGAGCGGCTGGAACAAATTAGCGAGGGAGTAGCAGAGACAACAGGAAGGAGTGCGAGGGGCTGGAGAATCCGAGGTGCTTGTGGCAGTTCCCTGCCCGGCGTGGGATGTGCGTGCTCTAGGAACCCACCCCAATAATTCATCACACCGAAACACACGGCAACAAAAGCCATTTTGTGCCAAAGTTGGTTGTCCGGGGCTTTCACCCCGTTACACGATTTTTAAATATTTTTTATTTTTGTTAACAGCGTGAGAGTGTGGTTGGAGTGGATCTGGGGAAAGAAGTAAATTAGGCTGACATCATTCACCCTGGTTGGGACCGAGGCTCCTGCTCCCGAGTTACACCCAGGAAACCAGAGGAAGCGGGTTATGGTGTGAGGAGAAAGTGGGAAAGGAGAAAAAGAGGGAGGAAGGAGTGAGTGGAAGGGAAGGAGAAGCCGGCAGAGGAAATGAAGGACGAGGAAACGAAGGATGCGAAAAAGGGGAAGCAAAGTAAAAGCACGATGCACGGTGAATTTTGGGGGGAAAGACCAGGGAGAGAAGCTGAGAAGTTGCTGCAGGGTGAACCAAAGGGAGGCGTTTTGCCCGCATTGGGGCAGAGGAATTGTCACACGGAGCTGAGGTGGCACTGGGGCCAGCACGGGTGGCACACAGAGAGACAGAGAGAGAAGGAATCGGGGCAAGGAACAAAGAAAGACTCGGGCTGTGGGGTAAATTAAAAATAAGGTTGCTGAGGAAAGGAAAGGAGCGAGCGTGGACATCCTTGTTCAAGCCACAGGGGTAGCTGGAAGTTGGGTGCAGATCACCCGGAGCAGAACTTTGATCCCAGTGTTTGCTCGCCCTCGGGGAAGGGTGGGATCACGCATCGGGAGGGATGAGTAACTCCTCTGCAAGGCTCCCCTGTGCGGTATCAGCGGGGCTTTCACACCAAACTGATAAAGGTGGCGAAATCCTCCCCGGCGAGACAATCCTCCAAAGCTCTCGTTCTGTTTGCCTCAATGGTTTTGGTTGACTTGTTTGTGGTTCAAGGGTGGGGGATATGGCCGCGTCAGTGTTGTGTCAGCCCTGCGAGGGGAGAACTTATCTTCTGGAGAAGGACAACGTTGAGGTGTTTCCTAAAAATGTGATGGCGAGATAGCTGTCGTGTCCTTTGGATATGCATCCCGGGACGGGACTTTCGCAGCTGGGAATGCTTTGCTCCCGTTTTCCATGTGATTTATTTGCATCCCTGTGGTTTATTTTGGCCTGAAGGGCCGCCAATGGGTTGTGTGTTCGCAGATCAAATCGTGATTCGGGGCAGAGCGGGATGAACTTCGGGAGGGAGGAGATGGGCCCTGGGGCAAGAGAGCGTGAAACGTTAAATGTTAAAAATTCTCTTCACAGGTCTGCCTCCCAAGCGACCATTAACATTCAGGTGATGGCTTTGTAATTTTGCTCAGAGATCCTTCCGTGGGAAGGGCAGGAATGGTGCTAAGCCTTATTTATGGAGCAGGAGAGAAGCGCAGAGCCGGGACCCGCCGGGGCCATGCTCCCCCTGCTCCGGAGGAGGAACTCCGTCCCGGGCCGTGATCCACCAGCACCACGCCAACAAAATCCCACCACCACAGTGGGGACAAAACTTAGCTTGGGAGGCAGGTAAATCACCACGGAAACCCACCCGAGCAGCGTTCCCAGCCTCGGCGTGTCAGGAATTCTCCCTCGGGGCGGAGGTGCCCGCAGGTTTGCCGGGTACCCCCGCCCTTGCTCCAGTCATTCCCAGCACTAGCACTGCTCTCGGCAGGAGCGCTTGGATCTCATGAGGCCAGCGCTGTAATTAATGAGATTTGAGGCGCGAGCGCCGAGACAAAATTCGAGTTTCCAATATCAGGAATGAAGATCCAGCCTTTGTTGCAAAAGGGGATGAGGGATGGCAGTACTTTAAAGCTTCTCAGTCCGACACTGGAAAGGAATTCACAATGTATTTTTAGAGTGTTATAAAAATCTCTTACATAATGCTGATTAATTCTTCGGTTTTAGGGAAGAGCACTGGGCTTTGTGCACAAGAGTGTTGACCAGCTAAGCCACTGAAAAGGGCTGGTTTGGGCTAGATTTTCCCCCCCCCCTTGAACTTTTTCTTGGGCAGAGAAAGCTGCAATTGTTCAATTATTACAGGATTTTGCTTTTTGTTTGGGCGTGTTATGAATATTATTCTGGAAACTGTGCCTTATTCTTGGAAGTCTTTATCATTTTAAAACATATGTTATGTTATATCACCCTGTCTGAGATATAGGATAGCTCCAAACTGGGTGGTTGGTTGTTTTTTTTTCCCCCTCTCTCTTGCTGCAGCTAGTTAGAGTATGGATTAATGTTAAGGATATCTGCAGTGAAACATTGCTTGTGTGGCTGACTTAAAGAATGTCACATTACAGGATCACAGCTTTATTGATACAGTAATATGTACAATCACTTTGTATTTCTGCCCGTTCTGTTGATCCTCAAAAATCATTGATTAGTCCAACTGGCAGGTTTCACACAGCCCTTAACAAAGGGCTATTCAGGAAATGAAGTCTGTAAGTGCTACTCCCTTATTTTAATTCCAGTTATCTATACTTATTGCTGTGTAGCTGGGAAGATTTTTTGGGCAAGATATCGTGGGAGAGAGATGCTTTTGTTTAGTCTTTTTCAACAGATACGTGACCGAGGCAGCTTTGAAGCCTTTTCTGAGGAATCCTTCGTCCTTCTGTAGAATGTTTAATCTTCCTGTGGAGTGTCTAACTATGAGACTCCTTCTGCAGACTTTCATTCTTGTGCCATACAGATGAGCAGGGGTTGCTCAGGTGATTGAACGAGTCCTAAATCGTTGCTGGAGAATGGAGAGAGCAGGAACGCATAGGTCAAAACAAAATCTTTATTTGCCCCTCTTTTCCACCCGGGAGGAGGAAAAAAAAAGTAATTATAGCTCAGGGGTAGGGAGGGATAATCCTTGTGGGTCCCTTCCTGCCTGAGGTTCTCTGTGATTCTGGATCTCAAAGAAAGGCTTACCAATAACCCAATAACCCCTTGCACTTTCTGCTTCCAGCAGGAGCCACAATTCCCTCCTGTCTCTGCAGCAGGAGCCAGGGTGGTTTCACAGCCTCCTGTCACACAGTTCATCCATGAAGGGGCCAGAGACAGCACAAACACCATCAGCTGGCAAGCAAAACTTGCTAAGAACAAACCTTCCACGGGTTTATTGCTCTCGCTGGCTGTGCTGGGGCTGTTCACACACTGCACACGTGTGCAGTTCAGAATGGGGAAATTATCTGCACGAGGCACCCAGTGCCACACGGTCTGAACCTTGCAATGGAAAAAAACACACGTTTGTGTGTACTGGTTTCCTCCACGGCTTCTTTTCCTGGTGTTTTATGTGGTTTCAGCCCTCCCTGGTGCTGTTTTCACTGCAGGGGCTGTCACAGCCTCTCTCACACAGACACTTGTGTGTGTGCCTTTGGTGCTCGTGCTGCCTCTCATGAAGAAAAGTTCAAATCCAGTCTTCCTCTTCTCCCCAGTCACATATTTTGACTTCTAGAATGGGAATTCATACATTTCTTGGTGAAATGTGTTTGATAATTGGGGTAAAATTGTGTCTACAAATACATAAACACCCTTAGTATCTGAGATCTCCCTAATTTCATTGGTTAGCTCGTTGTTTTAAGCCATTTCATGGAAATTACATTTTTCCAGACAACCCAGTCTGGGGAGGGGGGGGGGGGGGGGGGGGGGAATAGTATGAGAAAAAGTACCTTGCCTTAGTTATTAATCATTTGAAGGATAGCTGAAAGTCACCATTGCTGGCTCAGTGATGTGTCACATCAGGAATGTGGCTCCTTGTGCTGCAAGTGACAATAAACAGAAGAAAAACTGAATGAACACTGGGAATACAGGTAGATGTGAGGCTAAATGGGACCCTGATCCTGCATGAAGCTCCACATGGGCAGATCTCTCTCTGCATGACGTGGGTGCAGGGATTTGTGGCAAAAGACTTTGCTGCTGAAGTGCCTTAGCTGCCACTTCTAGCAGTTAGTGCTGTGCTAAAAAAAAGAAAAATTAAAAAAAAAAGCCCAGCCAGAAATCACATTAGCAGCATCAAAATTGCTTTTATTTTCAGGGTCAGTACCCTCAGCAATATGCTGCAGGAAAAGGTTGATCCCAGTATGGAGCTGCTGATAATTCCCGAGTTGGTTTGACATATGCAGGCTGCTGTCGACTTCAACAGGCTTATTTAACACATTTGTTTCTTTTGGGTTTAGGATTAGCCAAAATGCAATTTTGTGAAGCTGCACTGACTGATGGGGTTGGCTGCAGTGGGCTCTGGGCCTGGCAGGACTCAGGTTGCACAAGTATGACAGCAGAAAGTCTGCCCCTTTGGCCTGGACTTAACCATGGGTAGGGCAAATAACCTCTTCAGAAGGCTCAAGACTTTTACACTTATTAAAGTCTGCTCATAAAAAAGAGACTCCAAAGCAAGCAGTGGTGCTCAAAGTGAAGATCTGGGAAAATAAATGGCCAAAGCTATCACGCTGTGACAGCTCTGGCAAACCTTTGCACAGTTTTGTAAAACAAACACGCGTGATGTTCTCTTCTCTGCATCGGTCTTTGCATTAGAAGCTCATACCTAACTCAGAGGATGAATAAAATGGTTCTCTCTCTCCCTCTCCACATATTTACTGAGCACATACTGGTGAATTAAGTGCCATCCCTGTGCTGCACCACGTCAGCCACGCTCTGTCAGCACACCCAGCCCCTCTGCAGCTTTCCTGCCTTCCTCGAGGTGTGTGAACCACAGGAGATGGAGATCACCCCAGCCTGCTCTGTGGGCTTCATATTCCGAGGAGCTAACTTCTCTGGATCTCAAGAATCACAGAAAATAAAACAACTGTCTGTGGGCTTGCTCTGCTTTTCAGAAAGTACAAAATGTGCTAGTGGACTCTGGTAACTGAGAGTGCCTCCACTGGTTCTCCACACCAAGATTTGAGCTTCCTTTTATGAACCATTTGAGGCTTTTGTGTTCAGCTAGGAAGATATTGAAAACTGAGAAAATTTCACTGTTTTGGCCCCGTGGCCCAAGGAGGGGGTGGTGATGATAAAAAGCACTGGCACATGTCAAATCCAAGTGGTACCAGGTCTGACTGGTGGTTTAACAACTGGCCCAGAGCAGTGTTAAAAGTAAGAAAGGAAATTACAGCATTATTCATTAATTTATGCTTATGTATGTTTTGTTTCTCTCCACACACACACACATGATATTGCTCATATATATTGTTCATCTGGTAAGGAAGAAATAAAAAAAGAAATTGATACCAGTCTGCATATGTGTTCAAAAGCTTAGCAAATTCTCCAAGCTCTGCTGGGGATCAAATTTCATGAAACTGCAATAAAAAAATCCTTTTTTACCTTGTCTTTGTGTGTTCTGAGGTGGGTTTGTAAGGTTTGAATTACTGGGTAATAACCAAGAAGTCTCCTTTTCATGAGCCTGCAGCTGGGAAATGGACAGTTTAATATTAATGGAAAGAACAAACTCTTCTCCTTTCTCCCTCCTTTCTTCTCTGCACTTCTGCTTCATCGTTTCCTTTTCTGAGGTCCCTGTCCTGGAACTACCTTTGTGGAAGTCCAGGTTGAACCACAAACCAGGAGTAGAGCCCAATTTTTAAATTTTTCACTTAATGACTGCAGTGAGAGTCAAATGACACCAACTTGTGAACATTCAGGATAGAAAAAAATGCACTTCATTGACATATCTGCAATTATTTATTTAATGAAGAAACTAATATCACACGAATCTGCAGACTTCCCCTCTGAAATACTTAATAAGTGCCCTGATATCAGCATGCCAGGGGAAAATATGGGAATATGGAAATAATTACTCCTGGTGATTATCTTGTAAGAGAAGAAAACTCCTAAATGTTTGTTGAGAATTACTTGGCACAAATGATTGAATAGAAGTAACCAGCACCACCAGTCTGTATTTTGGTGTATATCCACTTCAGGTCCATCCTGGCTTCACTTCCAGACACGTTCAGTGAGAAATGGAAGTTAAATACCAAGGCTGAGCACATTACCACTTTTTAATCTTTACATTAAAGTACTTATTCATATCCTTTTCCCCTTAAGCCAAGTGCTGGGAATTCGGTGTGATGGATAAGTGAGGACAACCCCAAATCAGGGTCTCCAGGGACAGCTGGGTCTAAGGTAAATATAAAGTTAACTCTTTTTTGGGATTTCTGTCACAAAGGGGCTCTTGGCACCCAAAGGGCTGTGGGAGCCTGTTGAGAGAAGTCATGGGACTGAACTGAGAGGTGAAAAAGGCTTTTTTGCTTCTCCATTTCTGGGAATAAATGGTATATGTGAAGAAAACAACCAAAAAACCCCCAAACCTTTGCTGATGACTTCTCTGCTGGTTTTTGAGCTCTCCTTCCTGTGTCTAATCTTGTTTTTTAGGGAGCTGAGCACAGGGAGCTCCTCTGACCTGTCGTTGGGTCCCTGAGAGGTCTGTTCACACAGCCAGAGCTGTCCTCGGGGCTGAAGGCCCTGGGCTTCTCCCCAGGTGGCCTGTCTGTCCCAGGAAATGTGGTGCTGTGGTGGGAATGTGGGTGTGTGAGGAGGAGCAGGGACAGTGACAGAACCAGGGGATGTCCCAGGGATGGGGCAGTGACAGAACCATTCCTGAGCACCAGGATGCCTTAGGGCTGTGAAACACACAGAGCCTTCTCCCATCTGTTCTCTCCTCAGCTCTCCACATACTTGGCGTGGTGTTTTCCTAGGATATCTGAGCGAGGAGGAGCCTGAAATCTAAGGTGAATTGTGTTATTTAAAATATCCTTCTTTTATGGTCCAAATTTATAGCCCAGCTTCATGAGGCTTGCCTGACCTGTGGTACCCTTTTTCCCCTGGTGATTTAGACGTGGCCTTGAGAAGCAGACGGGTTTTAACTCCTTCCATTTCCTTTCATGTTCTGCTTTCTTCCCCCCTTCATTTACTCCTGCGCTTAAAAAAACCCCACAAAACCCAAAATATTCTTCCATCAGCACAAGGTTTCTCTGACCAGTGCATCCCAAGGTATGGATTTCAGAGAGGGAGGATTTTTTCAGAGTGCATTTTTCATGTGGCTGCTGCTAACAGACAGGGGTTCAGAGCAGGGAGGAGGTGTGGAGATCTCCTCCGTGGCCTGGGAAGGCACCATGTCCCACGATGACAACTCACTCCATTCCAGACACTGACCAGCAAATACAGGGATGTGGAAGAGGGGGGTTTTTTAATCTCTCTCCTTGGCCTGGGGGGTTTTGGCCCAGAAAGAGGCAGAAGTTATATAGAATTCCCAGAATACAGCTGGTGCACCCCTAACTGCATTGGCTGTAATGGGATTTTTTACTGTGCGAGGAATGAAATATCAGGCTCTCATTGTTATCTTTCCTTGTGCAGCTGTAAAGAATTTATTTGTGAGTTTTACAATATCCAGAGGTGGTTCCTTTGTACCCTTTTTCAATAAAGTTGAAATGCCAAAAGTTCTCCAGTTTGTTATTGCTCTCTTTGCCCAGCACAAAGCCCTTATAGCAATCCTGAGAGTGGCATCTCTGCCTGATCATGAACCTCCTCTTAAGGAGACCATCCTGGATTCCCTGCACAGCTGGGAAATCCTTCTAATGCCATTTTTCAGCCTGCCCCAATACCCAGGATTCTCCAGCATCTTGCCCTGGGTGTTTGTGGTTCTGCAGACCTGCATTATTTGATGTGGCCCTGGCAAGAGTCTGGGTCATACTTTGGATTTTAGGCATTCTCTGTTCAGTGTATTCAAATTTCTTAGAAGCCCAGAAGTGTCCCACCTTAGAATGGAGGAAAAAAAAATGTTATTTAAGATTGTGGGGATAAAAATGTTTCACTAGGAGGAGTTGCCTGGAATACCAAGGAATCAGGGAACCAGTTCATTTCCATCTGCCAGCTCATGTTCCTTGTGCCAGCTTGCTCCCTGGTCTCCTTTTTTACCATTCCTTAAAGACTTTGGCCCTGATTTCTTGCTGCCTCAAGAGGAACCAGGATTCAGCAGTGGTGTGGCTTCCCAAGCACTCCACTTTTCCATCCTCAGTCAGTGGCTGCTCCTGAGGATTGTTCTGGGTTTGATACCATGGGTTGAGCACATTTAATCCTGACAAACACAGCCCTTGTTTTTTTTAAAAAAAGGCTGTCAGTCTTAATGGTAACTTGCATATTGATGGAAATGACAAATTATTCCAGCAAAGAAATACACAATAATAAAGAGATTCCATTTATATTAAATTTCTCTTTCTCCATACATCTTTAAAATCAGTTTCAAGAAATATCTATTTTTCTTCCTTTTTTTTTTTTAATTTTTTTTTTAATAGAGTGGGACTTTTTTTCTCTCTTTCAATGAATTTTATGAATCCCCTTTCACCTCCAGAGGTGGTTGTCACGTCTGGGGAAGCAACACAAGCTGAATTCAGCTGTGGCAGGTCTGATGGTGCTGTCTGCTGGGCAGTGAGTTTCCCACTGAAACCAGGATGGTTTGGAACAGTGTAGGACTAGGAATTGCTGCTGAGGAGTAAGGAAACAACACACTTAAATTTTTTTTGAAGGCCACGAGGGAAACAGTGAAGAAAATCTTTCTTTTAAACCCTTCCAGTGAACCTGCCTCATATATATCTATAGATTTCCAACAGGCACTACCCAGCCCT